ATTTCAAAGTTTTTCCTGTATAAACTTGGGATCCTGTTGTACTGTTGATCTAGTAGAGAATCAGTAATACATTTTTTGTTATTTTGTGAAGTGTTTTCTCCAGAATTCTGAGCATTGAACTCTAGATATTCTTATAAAATCACAAGCTCATGTAAAGCATCCACATATAATTAGAAATTCAACCTATATGTATATGAAGCTCATGTAAAGCATCCACATATAATTAGAAATTCAACCTATATGTATATGAAATATTGGGAAATAAACCTCATATTTTTAATCATTTAAAAAATAATTTTTTTTTAAAAAAGGTATATATATTTAGGTATTATATGTAAAACAAGGTCCGAATAAGAGATACATAGCAAAGAGGACTGGGGAAGGGGTGGGGGAGGGAGATGGGGAGGGAGGAAATTGTCCAACAATGAATGAATGATTTTTTAGACCGTGAACTAGGGAAGAGGAGGGAAGGAGGAAGGAGGAAAATGTGCAATAATGAATGAATGAAAATCCAACTTTTCAGTAAGCTTTCATTTAAACAATCACAAAATATTTTCTTTTTTAAAAAAAAAAGAGGTGATAGATGCTCTGAATATACTTGATCTCACAAATAAGATGTATTAAAGAGGAATTTAAAACAGAATGATCAGGGTGGTTTCTTGAAGAGTTAATATATGAACTAGACTTGAAGGGTTTAAAGGAGAAAAACTGGAGCAAAAGCTTTCTAGCAGAAGGAACAGGCAGTGCAAAGGCCATGAGGTACATTCCTGTGCCTGGTGTATTGTGGACAACGAGAAGGCCAGTGTGCTTGAAGGGAAGTGGAAGTGCAGGGTTGGGGATGGATGTTCCTATTGGTATATTGTAGGAGATACTGGAATCATAAACATTTGTGGTCCAAATAGATCTCTGCAGACTCTTAGCTCTGCACAGGCCTGGGAATGTCATTCATGTGATGAATTCCATCATCACATCTTGTCTGTGCTAAAATAACTTGCTTTATGAAGACAAAAGCAATCTAGGGAAGCAAGCGGAGAGTAGAGAACACCAAAGCCTTGGGCATAATCTATGCAAATATTTGTTGTGTCTGGCTCCTGGCAACAAGGAGACAATCTCATTTGCCTCCCATAATTTTGCTTTTCCTAAAGGCTTCATAACTGCACTGAATCTAAAACCCCTTCTGGCAGTATATGTGATCTCTCAGGAGATCTGTCTTGCCTTCCACTATCCGTTTACCTGGAGGTGAAGTTAATCACAAATACTGATTTTCTCTGCATCTTGAAACATCTCTTGCCTTATCGCTCACCCTCCTTTCTTGTCTTCCTCCCCTTCCACAAAAAATGCTGAACCTTATTCACAATGGAAAGGCAGCAAGCAGAGAGATGCCCTATAATCTCTGCCTTAAAGTGATTTTAAAAACCTTGGTCACCACTTTTTCCCTGACCAAGCAACGCAGATTAGGATTTCAAACCACTGAGATAAGACTGGGAGTCCCAGGTAACATGCTCAGCTGCAAACAGAAGGAGAGACTGAAGTCCTCCACCCAAAAGCACTTCTGTCAACCTAATTATGAAAAATCAGCCACTGAGCCTGAGGAATACGATTCTGTTCCTGGAAGACGCGGTATTCCTCAGGGAACTAACACAACTGTATAAGGATGAGTCCTCCTTATACTTAAAGAATGTGCATGTTAAACGCAAGTATGGAGCTGATTGCCATAAAAAAATATTCAGGATAGAGACCCTAGGAATGAGGAAAAGTGACTCTCAGGAAAACCCCAAAGAGTGAAACTATAAAATGGCAACAGAAAAGATGTCACTTTGAGGATTCTGATTTAGGGTGCGTAGGACCCAGAGAGATTTGGGCAACTACACTCAGGAACAGCCTAAACCACACTCCCAAAGACTTGAATGCAGCAGTATCACCTTTCGCGGGTAGACCACTAAGAAGCCTTGATGGCACAGTACATAATGTATGGAGCTGCTATCTAAAAGGTTGCTGGTTCAAATTCACCAGCCTAATGGAGAAAGAAGATTTACAGCCTCAGGAACTATCAACCCCACAGCAGGGAGTGGGGACAGAACTAGATATTGAATTCCATCACTTATTGGCTGTGACATCAGCACCTCAACCGTGACTGTTAGTACTTGTTTGAATCTCCTTGCATGAAAAATACTGCTAGATACCCACTTCATAGCCATGCTATCAATCTTGAAATATATGAGCTGGTTAGGACCATACCTTCATTTTTCTCTCGCTTAATAAATGACATCACGAACTACTCTTGTTTCAGTATTATTTAAAAAGCGTTACTATTCTCTTGTCTTAAATGCTGTCCCAGGAAAGTGTCCCAGCTATCCATCCTATCACCGGAGAAGTACTATTTCTCTTGTCCTACCCAAAATCTTATTCTACACCACCTCAAACTCTACCACCTGTTCCGAACTCCCTCCTTATCAGTGTTGAGGGTTTTAAACAAAGTTAGGTGCTCATTCAGCTCGGTACAACCTTGACTGCAGCGATGGACTCAAGTGTTATCAGAGATGGTAAGGATCGCACAGGGCAGGACAGGATTCAGAGCTTTTGTTCATAGGATTTTTATGAACTATTCTCGAGGGCAACTAACAGCTCTGTACCCCCAGCCTCCCTATGCATCCTGGCATCACCGGCAAACTCACTGCCGGACCCTGACCCTCGGTCTTTCCCACGACAGCCACTTTCCAACAGCAGCGCTGAGCTGCGGTCCCCTTACCTGGTCCCCAGCCCTCTGCGCCCACCCCACCCCTCACCTGATGTAGGGGAGGAAGGGGTTGACGTGCCCGGACAGGACGGCGACCACGTAGGAGATGATGAAGGCGGCGGATGACCAGGTCACCAGGAGGAAGGGGACGAAGGCCATGCCCCTAAAGACGCCCAGCATCGCGCCGGAGGGCGCTGCGCCCCGCGGGGGCCGCGGCGCAGGAGCGGAGGGCTGCCTGGAGGCGGTGTCCACGCACGTGCCTGGCGCTACCGGCTGCGGCCTCGGCGCGGACAGCAGCGGGCGGCCGAGCAGAGTGGCTGGGCGGCGACCGGGAGTTAGGCCGGCCCAGGAGGCGGGGGCAGCGCGAGAAGCCGAGGGAGGCGGCGAGGCGAGGCGGGCTGGGCGGGTGGGTGGGTGGGTGGGGCGCGGGCGGCCCGGGGCTTGTTGCGAAACCCGTGAAGTCACAAAGCAGCGGCCGCGCGATCTCCCGGAGCCCGAGCGCGGAGCGGCCTCCCCGGGGCGCAGGCGAGATAGGGCGCACGGCGACGGCGGAACGCGGCTCCTTTCGCTTTTGGTTCGGACGCAGCCGGGGTCGCGCCGGTGCGGGGCGGGGGAGCGGCGGGAACGCCCCCTCGGGCCCCACCCGGCCAGCGGCTCTTACTCAACTCGCGAGAGAAACGAATTAACTCCTCCCGGCCCCTCCTTCCCTCGGGGTTTCCGGGGTACGACGCCTGGATCCCGGAGGCGCTCCCCTGAGGTCCAGCGCGTCGGGGTTGGGGGGTTTGGATGGTCCCTGGTAGGTGACATCCCAATGCCCGGCCGCTGATGCTGATGCTGCAGGTGTTCCGGTGCGTGTGGGTGATGCTGGGGGCACCGACGTGGTACCCACCTGCATGGCGAACCTGGACACTAGGACGGGGCCCCACCCAGGTGGGAGCGGGGATCCGAGTGGGCCTCCCTGCGTGTGTCTCCTCTGAGTGGACTTTCAGTATTTGTTCCCTCGAAATTAGATTTCCTTTTAGCCATCTGTGGATCTACATTAGCACAGACAAGAAGTCTTGACTTAAAATGAGACGTGGCGACGGGATACATTTCAACTCCATCGAAAGAACGGGCCTGTTTTCCGGAGACTTTGAGGCATACTCATGGATTTTGAGTCCCTGATTGTTGTAGGTCAATAGGTCACAGACGGTCACCTGCCATTTAACAATTCAAGCGCAGCTCCGGCTCACCCGTTACAGCCTGCAGTGGGTTACCTTGGTTTCGCATGTGTTGCCAGGTACACCTGCCCCTATGGCTGTGGCATTCTGTATGTGCGTCACAGAGCCTGTCTTCCACAATCTCTGGATGGTTTGGAACCATAGATGTTTCAGGTAGCAGTGGGGCTCTTAGCCATAGCTATTTAAAAACTAAAACAAAACCTCAAAATTCAGCCCATTGAGTCAAAAATTATTCATAGCTGACCATCCGTTTTTGGGGGGGAGGGGTTGGTAAATGAGAGGAAATTGCCCATCATTCTCCTGCCAAGGTGCTGGTGGATTCGAACCACAAAAGAGGTGCCACCTTTGAGCTAACAGCACAGTCCCTTCGACGAGGCCACCACAGCTCCCTGTTGAGGGATTGTTGTTGTTGGGTGCCATCAAGTGGACTCTATGCTCATAGCGACACTACGAACAATAGATCTGAACTATGTCCTTTCCTGTGCCATCCTCACAATCTCTGACACGCTACAGTCACTGTGTCAATCCATCTGGTTGAGGGTCTTCTTTTTTGTCACCCCTCCGCCTTTCCAAGGGTGCTCTGGTGGCTTAGTGGTAAAAAAAAAAAAAAAAAGGAAAAAAAAACTGCTCTGCAATACTGAAGGCACCAGGTTTGGATCCACCCTTTGCTCTGGGAGAGGCGGCTGGGCAATCTCCTCCCGTGTGATTAACAGCCTCTTAAAACCTGTTGGCAGGTCAGCTATGGGTCATTTGCTACCTGATAGTACTCAACAACAACCTTCCCAAACGTGATCTCTCTCTCCAAGAAATAACTTCTAGCAAAATGCCCAAAGTATGTGAGGTGGTAAAGTTTTACCATCTTTGCCTCCAAATTGCACTCTGGCTGCACCTTCTTCAAGACGTATCTGTTTATTCTGTTGGCAGTCCATGGGATACTCAGTACTCTTCTCCAACACGCAGCTCAAAGACTCAGTTCTTCTGTCATTCTTATTCATTATCCAACTGGTCAATATTATTATTGTTGTTGCTGATTGCTGTTGAGTCGAGCACAACTCATAGCGACCCTATGAATAAAAGGCATGAAGCTGGGGGTCTAAGCTGGGGGTCGCAGCTGCGGCACTGTCCTCCTCCTCCCGGCCTTTCTCCCTGCCTCCCGCTTCTTCCCCTGCCCGCTCAGCACAGCTGGCCCAGGACAGCAACCCAGAGCTCCTGGGCCCAGAGCTCCCCTGGAGTCACAGATGGTGTAGTCTTACCTACTGGAAAGTACAAAAGGACTTTGTGAGTGAAAAATATGCCTCCCAAGTTCAAACGCCATCTAAATGACGATGAGGTAACGCTTCTGTAAAAAAGTGAAAGGAGAAATCTTTTGGAAGATGATTTAGATGAAGAGGAAGACTTTTTTCTAAGGGAACCATATGTGATAGGGTGATATTGATAAGTTCAGGATTCTCTATATAGATATCAATTATAGTGTATTAATAAGTTCAGAATTCTCTAAATAGGTATCAATTATACGGTGGTATTAATAAGTTCAGAATTCCTTATATAGGTATCAATTATAAAACCATAATTACTTTTTCTTCAGCCTGCAAAATTAATTGGTTTAGCCTGTCTTCTCTGTTTCCTGTCTTGAGTCATGTAGAGTAGTTTTATCTGTCTGTTTACCAGAAGAGGAAATGCATCTATCCTAGATGCTGGTGAAGCTGGTTCTCCAGTCTTATATAAACTGTATCTTAATCTGCCTTTTTACCAGGAAGAGAACTGGGGCCTTCCTGAATTACTGATACATAGATGGGAACTGTCCTTTTCAGATGTAGAAATTACTTTTTTTTAACTAACAAAAGTGCATTGTTAAATGAGCTGGAATTTCACCCTAGTATCTAAGGCCATGACAACTCCCAGAGTTAGAGGCAGTCTTAGAGGTGACTCACTGTCTCCCAGATCTGCGTAATAAAGTGCATTTATGGATATTGTAGTCTGTTTGGCTACTGACTACTAAAAGAACCCCTTGCGTTCAGTAACATCTGGATCAAGATTTGAACCTAGAAATGATAAAACTAAGCATATTCAGAATCAGGTGGATTAAGTTTTTTATGTTACGCAAGAAAATATTACAAAACTAATTGAAAGAGGGAAGAGACTAGATGAACTGCAGGACAAATCAGTAAACCAATTTTTTTACTATAAAAAAAAAAGGCATGAAGACTTTCTACAATTATCATCATTTATCACAGTTCATAGAGTTTCCAGAGGAATGTTGTTTAGGAAGCAGATGCTGCTCCTGCTTTCTGCTTCCTGCTGGTCCATAGAGGTTGAGAATACTGGGGGAATAGAGGTTGAGGAGAACCAGCTGCCACTCAGTGGTCTCATAGCATCCTCTTCTGTGCCAGAGTAGAATTGTGCTCTCTAGAGTTATCAAAGGCTCATTTTGTTACAAAGTTGATCACCAGGTCTTTCTTTCAGGGTTCCTCTGGGTGAATTGATTTATCCCTTAAACCTTGAACTTCTGAAGGTTTGTTGTACCACCTGTTGTGTGCTGCCAAGGCACCTGCAACTCATAGTGACCCTGAGTACAACAGCTGTGAGCCCTGCTCTATCTCGAGCCAATTTCATTGTGTCTGGCACTCCTACCCCCTTTACCAGAGTCACTGAGTCAATCCATCTCATCCAGGGTCAATTGCCAAAAGTCCCATCGACTGCCAAAAGAACAAGCAAATCTGTCTTGAGGAAGTGCTCCTTTGAGGTAAAGTTGTAGATGTTTGTCTCACATACTTTGAGCATATTGTTAGGAGGGACCAGTCTTGGGAAAAATATATTATGCTGAGAATGGCGAAGGGTCATTGAAATGAAAAGACCCTCGAGAAGATGGGTTGACACATTAACTCCAACAATGGGCTTGAGTGTGGTGGAAATCTTAAGGATGGCCAAAGATCTAATCTGTTGTTCACAGGGGTCACTATGAATCATCAGTGACAGAGGACAGCTGTTGAAAAATAGAAGGATTGAATGGTACCACCGGAAGTAGGGAACAGAAACACCAAAGTTCTGTGGAATACTAAATGTATGGAAAAGTAATTTTTAAAAAAAAATAAGTAGTTATTATGCACATAGCTGGGGAGAACAGAGGCTGGTACTGGGGTGGTCTGGGAACAGAAGAGCCTTCCTAAAAGATGACAGTCTTTTCTAAAGTAAATCATTTTGCAAAGAAACTAGTAGAAAATTGAAAAAAAAAAAAAAAGAAAGAAGGGGTAGTAAATCATTGCTAGGCAGGCAAACAAAGGTGAGACTCGCTTTCCAGGTCAAGGAGACAGCAGGAGAAAATGCATAGGCTGTGAAATTGTTTCTCTGAAGCTAGGTAAACACTTAAGTGCTAAGCAGAAAATGGGCAGGTGACCAGAAAGACCAAACCACCGGAAATCTAACTTAGCATTCGAGAGTGACCAGAGTCACTGAAGGATTTTAAGCAAGGAATGCCAACAAATAACTTGTATTTCAGGAAATCGTTGTGGCTAGTAGGGGATTACCTATAAAACAAGTTTCTACCACATTGAAACACTTGCTGCAGAAGATCAACGACTACAGCCTTCAATGTGGATTACATTACAACATCAAGAAAACAGAAATCTTCAGCACTGCACCAATAGACAGCATCATGACATATGGAGAAAACACTAAAGTGTCATTGCTTTCATTTCACTTGCATCCACAATCAATACCCAAGGACCAGTCAAGAAATCAAAAGACAGGTAGCTCTGCTGGCAAGAAGTTGCACTGCAATCCCATGGCTCGAATCCACCAGATTCTCTGCTGGAGCAGAAGAGGCAATCTCCTCCTGTACCAGTCAGATCTGATTTGACAGTACACACAAAACAATTAAAAAAAAAAAAAACATGTTACTTTGGGGAAAACTGCTGCCAAGGAACTCTTCAGAGTGCTAAAGAGCAACAGTGTACATTTAGA